TGTGTCAGTCTCATTAAATCAGTCTCCTGCATTTCGGGGTCTGCCTCCTTCCTAGATTAGTGTTCTAACAGCAATGAATTAAGTGCATATTTCAAGCTTAGAATTTCTGCATTATAGAATCAAAATTTATACTCTCTGTGGTTTTAGCATCTGTGTTTTTTGTGTATGTTGTCTAAAGATTGTAATTTTCTATTATGGCTGTGTGATATGTCCAAACTCTCATGTAACATTTTAGGTCATTTCATATCTCGTTGACACATATCATGATATTGCACATTTTCTGTAGGTTCAAAGCATAATTTATGTAAAATTATCACATGGATAGACTTATGTCTTGATAAGTTTTGTCTAGTGCGTCATTCAAATGTATCAAATAGCTTAAATGCATTACCACTAACTGTGATTTGAAACACAATGTAATAAATGACAGAATATTTTATAAAACAATTAGCATTTTTCTGTTGTCACATAATATACATCTTCATTTTGCACAGCCCTATTTATAATTATATTATACTGTACACGTTTTTTTCAATAGACCAAACAAGAGATTGGAGGAGCTGGGCCATGGCTGTGCTGGTGTAGCTGTAAAAAAAAATACGTCCATCCCTACCCAAACCTCCTCCTCGTCCAGTATTGACCTCTACCCCCGAACACACTTCATCCTCTTCTGAACAATCTCCTTCTCCTACTGCTGCATGTTCAGTCTCCTCAGCCAGCAGTAACTGAGCTACCAATGAGTTCTGTGACAGCAGTGTCACAGAACAGTCAACGTTATTCAACCTCAGAGCTCATTACAGGTATGGTTGCAAATGATTTGTTACAAAGTAATCCCATACCATAATGCACAAGACGTGGATATATTGTTATTGTACAATAACCCTAACAGCAATAATAATGATGATAATGATAATAATAATGATGCTAGCAAAAACAGTAGTGTTCTAAAGTACTACGAGTTAGATGTCCAATTTTGTTTTACGTGATGTGTAGACTAGTTATGGCTTTGGCTATTAAGACTAAAAACGGGTATACATTTTAAAGGTTTACCAAGTGCATGTCATAATACTTGCATACCATGCAAGTATTATGAGACACTCATCAAATACATAAAGTTGTGTTCACATGCTTTTATGTATCTATTTGATAAATTAATTTTGGGTCACCCAATCACTAGGCTGGCTCACCCATGGCCAAGGGACACAAACCCAATTTCCATAGAAGGAAATTCTTTTATTTTAGTCATATTCTAATCATTTTTCCGCTAAGTTGAAAAGTTGCGTGGTATAGCATTTGCAGTTGTAATATTATTAATGATAGAGAGTTATGGTAATTTTGTATGTCAAAGAGCCATGCAGTCTTTCAATTAGTCTCAAAACCCACGCACATAAAAACCACATGCTCGCGATTAGAACCCCTCCCCTCAAATCTCTCCACGCGCTCGCATCTGCGCAACATTGAGTTTTGAGACTTTGGACGCGGAAACGACTTGCCATATGCATTTGACTTGGGTTTAGGTCTGTCTGCAGCTGACGTGTCGTCAAGCGAGATCTGCCGGCGGCCGCAGGGGTGGAATATAAACTGACCGCAGCCAAGTTGAACAACTTCTGCTCCTCGATCATAGTGTGCAACACCTGACTGCAATGGCAGCACTGCCAGAAGACAGGACTGGAGTTGAGCACCCCTGGTGTAGATAAAGCTTTATGACTATCACCTGCATGCACATTACTTCTTTTACAATAAGCAACTCCTGATCCAAACTGTTAGTAGTGGAAAAATATATAGTGTATAGTGCCCCTGTGTAAAAGGATAGCTGCCAGGAAAAAGATTAAATTCATGTATTTCAAGGATTCAAATTTTCTATTGTTATGTACAGCAGACTGTTACTTCACAGCCGTTATTCCATAATACGGTAAAACGTCTTCCGCTGCATATCATGTCTACTGTAAACAATGGCAGACTCTAACACACCGCGACAACCTGCAAAGAGATTTGCTTTTCAAAAACAAAAGAAGCAGTACCGCGAGCACTGTTGTGTCCCGGAGTGCACTGCGTCTTCAACTTATAGCGCTGGCCTCAGTTTTCATGCTTTTCCACAAGACGAAGCCCAGAGGAGACGATGGCTAGTGCTAATTCGGCGGGATCGCTTTGTTGTGACTTCACACAGCAAAGTGTGCAGCCGTCACTTTCTCCCTGGGGACAAAGGAGAGGCAAAGTCAGGAGGTGGGAGGAGACGTTTGAAGAGGGGAGCTGTCCCAATGTTGTTTAAATGGAACAACTTCAAAATCCCCCCACCGAGACCCAGTGTGTGGGACCGTATTGACAGACCGGAGCCCTTTGACGAGCCCTCTGATGAACAGTCTATGGAGTGTGCTGCTGTTGTGGTGGACCACGATTATTGTTCTGTCCCAGAACCTGCTGCTACAGACATGGCAGCGACTGAAATCCTGCAGCTAAAAGAACAAATGAGGTTGATGAGTATAGAGATGGGGGAACTCAAAATCCAGGCCACTTT